CATCACTTTTAAACTCTTGGGAGAGGGGAAGATAAAATGAAACAAACATATAGAATGAACAAATATGAGACAATTTGATTGATCAATATAAATCAAGAGATTGGTAAGAGTTATCCAGCATTTTGATTGGTTGTTCATTTCTCGGGAGGATGTTAACTGAAGAATCAACTTCGAACGGCCTAATTATTGGAATTTTTTAAATAATGCCACAAATATTTAAATTGGCACAAGGTAAAAAGTATGCAAAAACCCGAAAATCATTTTACTTATTATCATCGTAGTGAATTCTACCAGGAACACTCATATATCTATAGCTATGTCTTAACTCTATAATTAAGACTATATAATATTTGAGCTGAGATAGTAGTAACGTATAAGAATAAATAGGCTTAGCTTTAAGTTTTAGTATAATATTTGTTTTTTTGTATATAAAAGCTTCTTTCTTTAAAAACAATAAATTTGTTTAAGCCTTTTTACCTTTTTTAAATGCACGAAAGAGCTAATTTTACTTTTGTAAAAATTAATTCATTATCCTTTATTAAATATTAAAATATTTATAAAAAAATTTATTTAAAATCTACAATTTTTTTACCAAATATATATTTTATATAAATTTTGTAACTTATATTAGTTTATTACTTTTTAGTAGTTTCATCACTTTTTTTTAGTTTTGTCAACTTTTACTAGTTTCATTACCTTTCACTAATTTCGTCACCTTTTGTTAGTTTCGTCAGTTTCGTCAGTTTCGCTGTTTCACCATTTCAAAATTTTTATGACGAAACCTCCTAGGTTTCGTCTAACATCTATACTACAAAACGTCGTATCATATTTTAAATAGGACATTGCAATGCAATGTAGGATTATTTTCTAGTTATATATGCTGTCTTTTTAAAATTATAAGCATTATCAAGAAAATGTATGCAGTAGATATTTGGTCTTTTTAACTGAATTGATAAATTTGCGCGTTTAATTCATTCTTTATACGAATTAGAGAAGCATTTTATAAAAACATTTCAAGTATTTTTAAACCGACCAAAAAAGTGAAATATTTTATGAATGTAAAAAAATTCATTACTAAAGCTAATAAGAATTTTTAAATAGGTTAAATTGGAGAAAAAGAAAAAATGCTGGTTATCTCTAAGTTCTAAAAATAACAATAATAATAAAAAAAAAACGAATATGTTATTTGAATTTGTTACTTAGAATAGAAAAAGAATTACTGATATTATTAAGAATTCTAGGATTAACGTAATCTGTTTTTACAACCGATGCGCGGACAATTACTTTATAGTTTTCCTCATGATCAAGATTCGTTCCAATTAAAGGAAAGGAACAAACATCAACCATTATTTTATCAAAATTATCATCATCAAATGAGCATTCCATAAATTCTAGATCAATCTTCTCCGAATTTTTATACCACTTGTATTCAACAATTGGTTCTTGAATATTCAGACGAAAACAGAAAATCGAAATAATCTGACGAATTAATTCAATGGCCGTATTCTTATTTTCTGATCTTTTCTGTTGATCTTTTATTGTACGATATTTATTAAGGTCTTCTACAACTAAATCTCGTAATTGCATGATAAATGGGTGTTCGCCTTTATTGGGAATTTCTGAAAATCCTCGACTGCCAAGAACGGAATAAACTAGCTGACGTAATTTAATAGTTGCGGCTTGGGTAACTTCATCTGTTCCAGTGCGGTGCGTTGAGAATAATTCAATACAATTCATTAATTTATTTATTGTTGAAGTCGAATAAGTTTCCATATACTGCACAGTTTCATCATCCAAATTTTTTTCAAGAGATTGCACTTTTTCATCATAAATTTTTAGATAATCATTTGCATTTTCAATAACCATTTCAATGACATGACGTTGCAAAATACCTTTAATTAGGTTTTTATTCGGTTTAGTTCCAGCAGCAGAACAGCTATATTTTTTCAAAAGCTCTCCTAAAGCTTCATAATTAATATCAACTTTTTTTAAAGAGCAAAAATTATCAAGTAGATGTTTTAAGTCTTCTATGTCTCTTGCAAATTGACTAGTATTATTAGAATCATTATCGCTAATGCGAAAGTTTGTTGCCTCACCCAATGCGGATTGATATTTGGCTGTTTCCTTTCTTAGAGACATAACTTCCCGATTTTTTAATCTCATTTGTGCGTCAAAATTCTCTTCTTGAGTTTTATTCGTTTGTTGTAGTTCGTCCTTATGTTTTTTCAAAGTAGAAATTTCTTGATTTTTTGATTCCATTTGCTCCTCAAAACTTTGGGCTTTCTCTTTCGCTTGTTGTAGTTCACTAGTCAATGTATGAATTTCTTGATCTTTTGATTCCAACTTTGCTTTTAAACATTTGATATTTTCATTTGCAAGTTGAAGTTTTAATTCATACAATTCTTTTCTTGCATTAGAAATCTGTCCTGCAAATTCTTTCATGTATTTAGAGAACTGAGTACATTCATCATCTTTTTGTAATTCTGAAGATTTTTCAGCATTGAATTTGCTAACATGTTCCTCAAGTTCATTTATTTGCTGATTTATATTAACATAAATGTTTTCAATACTCTTCGACCATTTATCAAATTGACTGTATTTGGTCGTTTTTATATCAAAATTGGTTAAATGAGGTTCTAACCATTCAATAATTTCTTCATAATTAATAGGTGTTGTTTGAATCAAACTATTTGCCTCATCTTCTAGTTTACGAAGAGTATTATCTAACTTGATGATATCACTTTCGGTGTTTTCTTGTTGATCTTCACAATTAATATTTTCGATTTTAGCTCGTCTTGAATCAACTAAATTTCGAGGCGCTTGCATTTTATCGAAATTTTAAAAAGTTATCAAGATGATGGTTTAGTAATTTCTTCGTTAGCATGAAATTTAATTCATATATATGTATTACAGTTGATTTAATTATTCTAAATAGAATTTACGTACGTATGTATATATTATATATGTATGTATGTTCAGTACATAAGTACGTGCATATCGTGACTCTTTATAATTTTGCCAAATAATAAATTACTAATTTTATTTTTAATTAATTGCAGATTTTTTTTTTTTGAAACGTGGTGAGGACCCTTATGTTTGTTCAAAAGAATGCACGTTCATGCAATATTTGTCCGAATCAGCTAATGAAAATAATTTCAAATTGAAGACTTCGGTAATGAGTGTAACAATTTGATTTATACGTACGTATTATTTCAAATACAGTAAGTAAATAAATATGTTAAGTTTAATTAGGTTTTTTTTTTTTTTTTACGAAAATCATAATAAAAAAATATATATGAAAGAATTATCTTGTGTTTAGCTAATAAATAATATTTTATTTTCTGCTATTATAAACCTCATTTTTTCTCAATCTGACTCCATTTATTTCTTTATATTAAATCCCAAAAAAATTTTACTTTTCGTATAATAATATTACGATGGAAGGTCGTGTGTATAAATTCGATTATTTACCTGAAGTTCCAGCAGATATTCGCGTTGTCGTTGGCATAGGTAAAATGAAAAACCGAGTTGATTTATGGATTAATGTTAATTTACATAATATTAATTGTCTTTATATTTTTTATATTTACAGATTTTGGAACAACTTTCTCGGTAATTATTTTGATAATTAAAACTAATAATTTTATTGCATTTGTTGTCTAATATATCTATATTTGAATAATTTGTTATAGGGTTTTGCATATGCAAATGTTAGTTCTGGCGAAGTTATTAGTAATGAAGATTGGCCTGGTATAAAAGGTCCAAAGAAATTACCAACTGTATTACAATATGATGAAAGTTTTAGCCAAGTTACATTATGGGGTTTTGATGCTTTAGCTAGAGAACCTCCAAGACGTCGAAAGAAAGTTACATCTACTGTATCAAGGCCTATAGAACTTTTCAAACTCCATTTAGGAGATATTCCAGAAAAGCAAAAACCGATATTACCTTCAAATATTACAGCAGAGAAAGCTATTACTGATTATCTTCAAGAAATGGGTGTGTAACAAAAAAAATTTTACATGATAAATAAAATTTAACTTATTATGATAATACTAACTGTTAATGCATTTATAGGTAAGGTAAGAAAATTCGCCTATTTAAATATACGTAGATGTTTTGTTCATTCTAGTCAGGTTATATAACTTATAATATTTTTATAGATAATTAAAGAAGAAGTTGAAAAATGTTGGCCAGGAATCGACTTTTTTAAAATGGTGCGCTTAATGATCACAGTTCCCGCAGGTAATTTTATTCATATAAATTATATTTTTAATTTGGACAATTTAAAAACAAATATATTTGGAATTATGACTGCAGGATTTACTGAAGATACAAAGACAATAATGAGACAATGCATGTACAACGCTAATTTAATCAGTATCTCTGGCACGCAAAGCCTAAAGTTTACCACCGAACGTAAGTGAATACAATTACCTTATATTTTCTTAGTGCAAAAAAGGCATTACAATCCACATACTTTATATCTTCATCGTTTTAAATATTTATGTAAAAAAATATATTTATTTTAAATTTCCATTAATAATTAGCCGAAGCTGCAGCCGTACATTGTATGAAAGTAATAAAGGATCATGGATTGAAAATTGGAGGTACAATTTGATATTTTTAAGCTGTTAAACTATAATAACATTTAAATAACTTTTAATCTGTATATTATAATTTTTTTTTAAAAAAAAGACAAATATTTGGTTGTTGATTGTGGTGGCGGGACAGTAGATTTGACAGTCCGAAAATTGCTCGAAAATAATCAACTTGGAGAAGATACTGAACGTTCTGGAGATTTTTGTGGTAGCACCTATGTGGATAAAGAATTCATAAAGTACCTCAAAAAAAAGGTTGGGGAAAATGCAATTAAGATGTTAAGTGAAAAACACTATAGCCAACTTAGTTATATGGTCCAGCAATTTTGTGAACGTGTCAAGACTCGGTTTACAGGAGTAGAATCCGAATTCCGACCATATAGTCTAGAGATTGAAAAAATATGCCCAGCTTTAAAACAATATGTTAGTGGTAACGTTAGAGACGAACTATCAGAAGAGGAGGATTGGGAGATTGAATTTGATTTTACAACCGTAAAGAGCTTTTTTGACCCGGTTATCCGTAAAATTCTTCAATTAATAAATGATCAAATTAATAAAAACGTTTGCTCAATAATATTTTTGGTTGGAGGTTTTAGTGAATCTAAATATCTTCAAAAAAGAGTCAGACAAAAATTTTCAAATTATAAAGTTGCTGTTCCACCTCATCCAATGGCAGCAATAGCACGCGGTGCAGTCGAGTATGGATTGGATATGGATAAGATTAAAACACGTGTAGTAAAATGGACCTATGGGATTGAACTTTATTCTGAATTTGATAAAGGTGATCCTCTATCTCGCAAAACTTCTGACGGACTAATTAGTAAATTTAAACCTATGGCCAAAAGAGGTCTTCAAGTGGAAATAAATCAAAAGTTTTCCACTTTAGCATGTCCACGTTATCCGAATCAAGATTGTATACTTTTTAAATTTTTTTATACTCCAAATGAAACCGCAAAGTTTATTGACGAACCTGGAATGAATAAACTAGGAGAATTTCGTGTTGAGTTATCAGACAAGCATCTTGGCTTGAATAGACCCGTAACTCTTACTTTATGTTTTGGGGCAATGGAAATTATTGCTGAAGCAAAGAATGAAATAAATGGAAAGGTTTATCGCACAACATTTCAATTAGAATTATCAGAGATGAGTTCCATGCGTGCGCATAATTGCGCATGAAAACAATTCATTCGCATTAATCGCATTTACGTACATTTTTTCTATCTTTAAGAATTATATTTATTTCTTATAACCTTTTCTATTATGATTAATAATCTTATTTATAATTATTTGCTGGATAGTATTCAGCTCAGAAATAATGAACATTGATTAGTTTGATTGGTATAGGATTACGGATTTGCGAGATCATATTTTTTAAATTTCTTTATTTTTTTTTGTATATTTATAAAGACAATTATTTTACATTGGTAAAATGGGAATTACTCGTGAGTTTTAATCAATTACTATAGATAATAAATATTTGAAATAATTAATACAGTGACTTGAATTTAAATGTGATCAACATAAAATTATCTTGAGTGTCGTATCTTGAATTAAATTTAAATTCACATTTTCATTATGTTCACAATTAAATTCCCTATGTAAAGGAGATTTGAATCCCCTGAATATCAATATTATGAATAGTTGTGGTATATTGTAACTAAATTGTGATTTATGCTACTAAAGTCCCTATTGAGTATAGATAAATCTTCTATAAAATAGGAAATTTATTAATTCACACTTAGTGTTTATACACTTATTTTGATTTACAAATTAATTTTTATAAAATAAAAAAATATTTTATTTACTTTAATGTTAGGGCGAGGCCTGGGGTTTTATCTAGGCATTAATATATGAAAATTTAACCAGGAATTTTTTATTAGAACTCTAAAAGCGGTTTCATAGGCAAAATTTTGATATTAGTATTTTTTTAAAAAAATTTTTTTGCTAAGATTTACACGTTACACCTGATTTTAAATTTTGATTGGCATTCTAATAGGTTTTGTTACTAGTGTATAGGTTAGTCTTGACTAGAAGACTACAATTAGTCCTAAGACCAGTCTGAGACTGGATAGACTAGTCTAATCTGGTCTAGTCTCTTTCTTAAAAAATTCAAAAACATGATCTAAACCAAAGTCTCAAGACTAGTTTCAATAGACACAAAGTAAGTACAACTTGAGTCACTCGCAGGTAAGTGGGTAACCCAAGTTGAAGTTGTTATAATCTGAATAGAAGTAAGCAGGTCAACTTATAAGTTAATCGTTGACTCATAACTTCTACTAGATTACTACAACTTCAACTTGGGTTATTTACTCACTTGCAGGTAGTGATTGGGTCTATAAGGAAAAATACTACCTGAGTGAGTACAACCCATGAGTGAGTAAGTAACTCAGGTTCCACACTTACCAGCTGATAGTCCAGGTTATACTCACAGTCAAAATATTTATTAAAAACTAGTTTTAGACCAGTCTTTTATAATGAATTAGACTGAACTATTAAAATTCAAAATAGGTCTTAGGACTGTCTGTAACTAGTTCAAAAAAGACTAGACTAAAACCAAACTAAAATAGACTAGACTAGACTGTTAACATCTCTACTAGCATATATATTGAAGGAGGGAAAAGCGGCGAGTTAGTCGCTCGAAATTCCGGGTCTTCGCGTAACGTTATTCAATGAATTTTG